CACACACGCATGCATGCACACACCAGACCCACAAAGACAAAAGTCAGTAAACATGCACATGGAAAAAATGTACAAAGTGCAGATAAACACCTGCTCATGTGTGCATAAACTGTATTTTCCTTCCCTTCACACACACACACACACACACACACACACACATACACACTCCCAATGCCACTGCTGGGGCCAATTATAAGAGCTTTTCTCAAAGTAAACGACCACATGTACAATTTTTAATGGAATTATAAGCTAGATTGACAAGGGGCTTTTTGTTTTGCTTTCCGCTAATCGCCTCTCCCAAAATCCCCTCCTTTATGTCTTGTCATTCCGGAGAAAACTCAACACTTCCTCCACTTTCCTCTGATTTTCACTCTATTGCGTGCTGGATATCAGTGAGAGAGAGAGAGACGGGGCGAGGGAAAGTGTAATAGAGAGAATGAAAAGAAGAGAGTAAATGTAGGGCAGTGGGGAGGAGGCCGACAAGAAAAGAAAGAAAGGAGGAAAGAAAGGAAGGAAGTGGGGGAGGGAGAGGTGGAACAGTGGGGGAGAAACGATTGGCTGTGGACCAAAGATGAGAGAGGAGAGACACACAAAGAGAGAGAGATGGGTTTAGAGGAAGGAAGAAGCAGGAGAGAGAAAGAGTGTGAGGAGAGAGTTTGGGGATGAGGATGGTGGGAGCAGAGAGGTGACAGGTAGGAATTAGAGGCGTTCAGAAAGTGAGGTGGTGATGAAGGGAAGCTTTTTTTTTACCATTTTATGCCGAGGAGACTCTTTTATGAGGGGAAATTCAGAGTGTACACACAGCACAACTTATCAATCAATCAGACAATCAATTAGTAGTGTTCATGACATTGCATGCAAATGTGGAATATGAAAGTCTTGCTTTGGTCCATGCTTGTACAGATGAGATACACTGGGTCTCTCTGATGTTTTAGTGACGTTCTTGATGGGCAATAAACAAACTTTTCAGGACATTCTGCTCGATCTCATGCCAATTATGTTTCTTTATTAGCATTTAGCCACACTATGCTGCTCTACGGATGGCAATGTCAGTCGATCCATGACATGACAACCGATGGATTACCATGAACTACTTTGACCAAATACGTGCAGTATGTAGTAACTAATGACATTTCCATCGGCCTCAGCTATACTTTGCGTTTAGTGCTAATCGGCGAATGTTAGCATGCTAACAACCTGAACTAATATGATGAACATGGTAAACATAAACATCAGCATGCTATTATGGTTGACAGTAGCTTGAAGCACAACTGTGTGCTGAAGTACAGCCTCACAGAGCTGCTAGCTTGGCTCATACTGACTTTAGTGGCTCAAAAATACTGGATCCTACATTTCCTATAATGCAACTGGATAGTGTCTTTAACTAGACCATCCCCTGTCTGGTAATCAACTGTGTCTTTCAAACTCTGCACCCCAAGTTCTGTTGTAAATTTTTTGTCTCAAGCTGGATCCAAGATGATTTTTTTCTCATTACACTGAACTTCCCGTTTGTGCCCCTTTAATAAAAAATGAAGTTTTATCCCCAACTTTAACTTTGATAGTTGTTTATTTAGTCATATATATTTATTGTTACAGAGAAATATGTAAGGTCAGAAACCACGTTTTTGGGGCTTTAATTTTACATTTCTATGTTATGTTTCTCTTGGTGAAGTCCTACAGTTGCATTACATTACCTTTCTAAGAAACATTTGGAAGTGTGCACATTTTTATCTAATGCTCTGCTATTCTTGAGTGTTTGCAGTTATCTTCCATCACGTCAGGAGTGCTGATAGATAGTTGATGATGCCACTTTGACCGAAAAAAGCTTCAGAAATAAATTAAGCGTCTGCAGAAAGGATGAGTGTGCAGATGCTTTGACTTCTTTTTATTTGCTATATGTTTTCCGTACAACACCGTCTTGTTTTGTGGCAGCGTACAACAGCCCTGGCAGTGTTCACAGTTTACACGCACAAATTGCCTTCTCACCCTAAACGGAGAGTGCAAAAAAGATAAGTTGCTTCCGATGAAAATGTCGCTTTTGCATTCCTGTTTTTACCAACTTAGCACCTTCGGGAAAATGGAGGTCAAGGTGTCCAAATGAGAAAGCATGGTATGTTATTGTGTAGCATTTAATAGAAACAGGAAAATGAAGATGATGTGTGTGTGTGTGTGAGTGTCGCTACGGTTTAAATGCAGAGGGGCTGTTGTCACCACATGAATTCTAAATAATCCTGATGAATTAATGTTCATCTTGAACTAGATTCACAAAGTGCCTGCAGGTCTCTGATTTACCAGAGCAATGTTGCCCCCTTCATTAGGAGACTCTTTGAATATCCCGAATGTGTTGAATATTTCATTTGATGACTTCACAGCGTCTATGAATATTCATATTTTGGCTTTGTGTGCTTCCACTGATAAGTGTTAATGGAAAAAATCTTAATCCTAAAACACATGTTAACATCAGCTACTGGTGGCGTACGTTGCAGTCTGTGTGCCTTTTTTGTTAAACTTCATCCTCATCCATGGACAAACAGAGATGGTGTAACATCACAATATTTCCAGCAGGAGTGTGACGCAGGAGAAAGTGTCAGTGACCTGAAACATCAACAGCAAGTGTCAGATGTTGGTGTCAGTCTATGAAAACAAAGTGCTTCTTTCTTCACACCAATCATACAGACAGAAAACTGTTGTAGAAGAGGCAATGCAGCCTTGCAGCATGTCAATGTACATTTGTGGATAATGAGGCATTTTTTGCTAATAGAGCAGCTTATTTTGCTGTTATTATGTTTATCACTACTACTTACCTTACATATTAGTATTTCACTACCATATTTTAAGAATATTACCAAAGGCATTCTGGGAGTAGCTTAAATCACTAACTGAAGTCAAGTCAATAAGTAAGGTTGAGAGAAACTGGGACCAACAAAAAAG